ATGTTTTCCAAAACGTAATACATCGATTGTCATGAAAATATTTCAGGCGTAAATAGTTGACATCCTCTTACAGAAGCATAATTAGTGCCGATAAACAGAAGTAAATTAGTCATCGAGTTTCCGTGAAAGAGAAGCCACGTGAGAACGTAACTTTCCGCTTCGAGAGTGCAAATGTTAGTTCTATAGCGCGCGTTCCATAAAGCGGAATACTTTCGTGGGATATTGCCGCCGGAGCTTTCGTCTCGCTGATAGAGAGAGGCTGAAAGAGGTATCATAAAGGACCAATGCAATACCTTACTTTATTACGGGGGAACATTGTTCTTTGTCAGAAACAATACGTCAAAGCGCGCACAATTGTTGCTGAATGTTTCTTATCGCGACGCAAGCAAAACCCACTAATTTCGTTGATCAATAATGGAGCAGCGTAAGTGTAATTGACATAAATTAGAGAGCCCGGTTCAGTGATATTGAGACACGAGGTCTTTTCCGCGACGCGGTGCAATCAATACAAGGAGAATGGTCTTAAGAGAAAGGATCGTTGGCAACATTTGCGCAATCAAAATACAAACGCGTCATTGGTCGAACGAACAATAATACAATATTTAATAAACTTAAATATTTGATAATATATAGACAGGGGTTTCCTGTTTCCTCCTTTCCCAATGAGAATTCGATAGGATATTACTTTCCAATGCTTTAATTGGTCAGATGTTAAATATCTCTACATGCGAAAGAATTTTTTTTAGAATTTATCCCGAAAAATCATAGTAATTATGGGACAATATGGTATTAAAAAAATTAAATATTAATATGTACATAGGAAAATTAATTGAACATATTTTATCTTATTGTGTGATATTAATATTTTTTATTGATAAATATTTATATAAAGAAACTCTTATAAAATTCTTCCAACATCGTCCCACGATTACCATGATTTTCAGGGTAAATTTTAAGAGAAAATTCTCTCTGTGTATAAATCAATAATAGTGTGTCAAAAGTCACTCTAATAATATCTCGAGATTTTTATTAAATAAAGCTTAATTTCTATTAATATCTTTGTAGGTGAAAAGTCACGACCGCGCTTTCATTCTGAAAGGTGAGCTAGAAATGTTGGGAATAGCTAGCAGTTGGGTGATCAGTTCGAGGAACGCGATCAGCAAACTACGGTCAAGATCCCTTTCTCTCGCCGTAGAGAAGCAAAACGTCTCGATTTTGTTGTACTCTTTGCCCTCCATTGTCGTTTAAGACCGGCAGATTCTTTGGGATCAATGCATATGCATTTTATTTGTAGATAGTCGCGACGATTGTTTTATGAAGATTTGAAATAATCTTGAGAAAATTATACATATTATCGTAATTAAGATTTCCTGGATTAAGGCTAAAATCTCTAAATTTTCTTACAGTCTTCCAACAGTTAAACATATATTTTATAAATTAAAAAAATACATTTGATTAACAGCAATCATTTTGTTTCATATAATTGTAAACTTTTCAAATTTATTCAATTATTAAAACAAGTTAAGATATAAGTTATATAATTTAATCTTTATATTATAAATAATTTAAATAACTTTTTTTAAATACAAGGACTTTATACGGAGTTTATTTAAAAATATATGTACTATTTTTCAAATAAATCTATCAATTATTGGCAAGGATGTGTGTAAATTATTTCAGTATACAATTATTATTATAAATATTTTTTACTTTTTAAAAACCTGTTTTAATACTCAACGATTTAGGACTTTCCGAAGATCCACATAATCATATAACTCCGCTCGAATTAACATTGATGCGAACATTCCAAAAGAACAATGTCCATATCTCCGACATTTTTTTCGACCCCTCGAGCCAGACGAAAACCTGTTATGACAAAAACCATGACACCCGACCTCGGACAACCCTCGCCGCTCATCTGGCTACACCGATAAATCAACTACTAACGTTGAAGAGAAGCGTCAGACTTAAAGGGAATAGCGTAAACCGAAGGGGCAAACTATATAACCGCTTTCTAATCTTGATTTTCATTACATGAGTTTTCATTACTTATTTTTATTTTCATTTTCATTACTTGATTTTCATTTTCATTGCACACTCGCGATATGAATTTACATATTATTATTGTATACTATGTTATTTTTGTACTTCAGTAAATTTATCGAGAATTTTTCATGGAAAAATTATAATGTGCATTAGTAATAGAGATATTTTTATAATAAAAATTTGGAAATTTGATATAATGAATGTATGATTAATTAAAATTTGAAAATTTTACGTAGTAAATTTTATATAATAAAACTTTCATATTTTAACTAATTATACACTTGGCAAGATCAGTTTCTGCAATGTACATTTATAATTGCAAATCGTATGATTTCGGATAATGAGATATAATTAACTATTATTGATCTTAGATATATAGATGTAGATGTAGGTACAGTGACATTTCTCAATTTAGCCTCAGTTAATATAAGACCTTCCTTAGTTTGATTTATATTTAATCATGTGGGAAATGTGACTATTGATGTGGCTATTTTTATATAGACAGCTATTCGAAAATGGACATAAATTTTAATATAACAGATTCAATAAAATCAATAAGTCAATCATTATTTTGCCTAACTGATTTAATTATTCAATTAATTTATATCTGTCATATAATAATAATTTAAAGATGCCTGTTATTTTTCAATAATTGATAGATTTATGATATATTTATTATAAAATAACGCATATATTTTTTTAGAGAACCATATAAATATGTTTCACTTAAAAAAATTATTTAAATTATTAATGATACAAATATATTAAATTTAAATTATATTATAGCAAAGCATTAATAATTATATCAATTGTAAGCTGTTTCTTCTTTTATAAAAAGCACATCGTAGTTGAACAGATCTCATAATCATAATCGTACTGTCAACGTGCGAGAAACACTATCGCAGCAAATAAACTACTGCTTTTACGGCTGGTCGTGCCACCTGGCATGAACCAGAATTTAGGTCTCCTGCTCTGGTGGTTATTGATTTTAGTTTTGAAAAGAAATCTCAAAGAGACCCGAGAATTGCATCATCGTTATGCGATCCTTATATCGATCTTATATTATATTAACATAAAAAATAAAATTTATATCTTTTGTTGTTGAATAATGGATTCTACACTTTGATTAGTTTATAAAATATATATCAATAAAAATTTAATTTACGCATAAACTAATTAAAAGAAAAGAAACGAAGAAAATCCTCTTTATCAGTATCTTTATGCGAAAAAATGAGAAATAGGTCATAAGTTTCTTTTAATCATATTCAAATAATGATGTATTAAATATAAATTTTGAAAAGTTGTGATATAAAAATTTAGAAATAATATACACATATATATTTTTTAAAAATTTTATATATAAATTATTAAAAAAAAAAAGAATTTCTCGCGTTAGTTTCAAAAGAAAGATATTAATCGTATTAATCGTGAAATATACTTGGAAATATAAAATTGATTAACTTTCGAATATTTTTGATAGGAATGTCAGGTCAGTGTTGTTGATTCTCGTAAGACAGTGTGTAAAGTTTAAGTAAGTTGGCGAGATATAAGAACTTGTTTGCTTCCATTTTCAAAACATTTGAAACCACAAAAAAGCAAACTCTAAGGCAATACATCAGGATACATTGTCGAATAAATACTTTCAGAAAGATGGGAAACAATTATGCTCCATACAAGGTGCATAAGTTCAACAGATTGTGAAAAGGATAAAAAAAAGATTCTTTGTGAGTGAGAATAATAGCCTGTATACATAATTAAATGTGATAGAAATGTCGGCTCATATTTAAATGGAAATAAAAGAAAAATAGCAATGAGAGATAGAAATTTCTCTTCAATACAAGTCTTTGCATTGTATAGAAGATATGGCATGCGCACGCGTCTGCACATAAACGTACGCATACATATCCATTATGCAAATGGGTGAACTACATTTGTGATATGTATACATTTAACGATACATAACAATGCGAATAAAATAATGATTATTTTCTGTTTAATATAACAGGACAATTGCGATCATTAAAAAATTGAAAATTTACTTTTTCCAGATAAAACACGTTTTAAACATAGTCGTATAATTAAAATGAGTTGACAGTTTCCCTGCATTGCAAATTATTGACAACTGATCGGATTTAAAAGTTGACAACACCCCGAGAAAAATACATTCACCCCAAATGTCAAAGGTTTGCACGCTTAATAATGTAAAAACGATGTCGGATTACAGTTTCGCATGCGCAACCATAAACTCACAGCAGCCGACATCGTTTCTGCAATTTCCACTGATTGTATAACAGAGACATTTTTCAGATCTATGAATTTCCTGGCTGATGCAGTTAACAAAAATCTCACACGTCAAAAGAGATTCTAGATGCTATAAAATAATCCACGATAATAGTATAATTTATCTAAATTACGACAGCGTATGATTAGTATTGAATTTTAAATAGCGATCAAAATCTTTAGGAAGTCTGGAACCTCATTGAACCTTCTAATAAACTCGTCTGCTTATTGAATGCTTGACACATGTTTCACGTATGTATCTATGTATATATTTCATGTTTATTTCATGTTTATGTCTCATGTATATTTCACGTGTGTGCTTATTTTCGCGCGATTCACCTTCTTTCACAAATTTCAGGATCACAAAAATGATTCGACTCTATATAATCATCACCTGAATTCGCGTCAAGGGTTATTTGTCAACTGGGAGAAAAATCCGAGAGATCGATTCGGAACGACATAACAGCAGGTTTCGATCGCGTTCGTTTCCTATTAAACCACATATAAACCGAAACATCCCCTTGAAGCGCAGCGTCGATCTCTCTCGAGGGATTAAACCAATGCGAGAGAATTCTCGGCGCGCAATTTTACGTCAGAGACCTGCCATCTTCCTCGAGGATGCGCATCCGATATCTAACATATATCTATACCTGAATAACTCGTGAACACAATACCTTGACGTAGAGCTCCCTCGTAGTCATCGCGAGCGGTCTAAGCACCTGGAGGCTGGATCAGGAGATACCACTGCACACCACGATAAAACACGCGCGGCAACGACGTCGACGATGACGACGACGACGACGACGACGACGTCGACGATGAAGCGTCTACGGCTTTGCGATCGAAAGTCGCACGCGCTATGAGCACCGTCGACTTCGTCGGGTTGTACACATTGTCACACCTGAGGGAGGTCACGGCATGTTTGTTTTGCTCTTTTCCTTCTCTCTCTCTCCAGTCTCTCCTCTTCGGTTCGCTTCGTTCCTCGGGGATTTCGCGGGAGAATTTCGCCGTTTCTCTACTCCGATTCTCGCCGCGCGATTTGCTCCGCGGAAACCTGACTGCGACCTGACTCCGGTCCGGCACCGGGCGCGAGAGCGGGTTCTCTCGCGAAGGTCGTACCTCCACGTAAACGACGGCACTGCCGCTGCCAGCTGGTTTCGTTATCGGGTTTAGATTGCGCGCCCCACTCCGAGAACACCTCGACGCCCACTGCGCGGGTGACATCGATATCTCGCTCTGACGCTCAGCGAGGCATGTCGTGCTCTCCTCCTCGAAGGATCGAAGCCCAACACTGGCGACGTTCGATGTAGAGTGGGATCTTGGAGAACATGCGAATATGCGAGGATACGCGAGCGCTGCTCGATTGGTTGTCTCGCCTGAAAGGAACAGAATATGCGAAAGTTAAATGTCTTATTGTAAATATGTGCGAAATATTGTAAACAGAACTGGATGACTGTAGATTTTGAACGTGTAGACTCTTGAAAATTTGCATAATTTTGTAAAGTAATAAATATTGTAATGTATGTATTATAAGAACAGAATAATTTATTTTATATTTAAATTTTGCGATTCCAGTTTGTTGGAATATTCATGCTTCTGAAAATATTTAGCAGCCTGTTTATGTATACCGTAATATAAAATAATAATGTTTATAATTATTAGGAAATTCCTTTACTTATATATATCCTTCATTTTCTACATCTCCAAATATTCAGATGATAAACACGCAAGTTTTTATCATTATTCACTCAATTGCCGATGATTGCCTTTGTAATCCTTTGTCGGCAGCTTGGAACCCTACTCTATCAGACTATAGCTACTGATGTTAATATATCTGTAGGAAAATGTTTCTCGAGTGTAAATATTTATTTAAAGTTATTTTTGAAAAATATTTAAAAGATTGAAATAGAAGGTGCTTTTTTAAAGCAGAGATATAATAAAGTAATATAACTTATAAAAAATGTTACACATTGTATGAAAAAATAATCAATTTTAGAAACACTTAATCTAAATAAAAAATGCTTTATTTTATAATAATAAAGCATTTATATACGAAGAGATTTTTCTCTTAGAATTTATCCTGAAAATTATGACAATCATAAGACAATATGGTACTAAAAAATTTTAATTTTTTAAATATCTATATAGTAAAATTAATCAAACATATTTTATATCTTATTGTGGTAAATATTAATATTTTTTTATTGTGGTGAATATTAATCAGAGAAAATCGTATAAACTTCTTCCAATCCCACGATTACCATGATTTTCAAGGTAAATTCTAAGAGAAAATTCTTTCGCCTATTCATTTATAGATAAAATATAAAAACAATGAAAGATCAAAAATATGCGAATGAAAACAAGTTGTTCGAAACTTCAGTTTATATTGAAATTATCATGACGTTCAGTAATGTTTTTATTGTGTAGTGATTATAAACTAGAACTAGAGCAATCAGTGTACGTCTTAAGAGAGACATCTAGTATTAAATAGCATAAAAGATTAAATGAAATAAGTGGATAAAAGTATAAAGCGATGGCATTTTTTCAATTGCTTCTAAAAGCTAGAAAGATCGAAAAAGCTAGGTTGACTTATGAGGATGAAAAATTGAGATCGATTGAGATCTCCCAAGGTGTCAAGCCACGTCTCACTTTAAAACAGCGTCTCCGACGAAAAAGATTAAGGTGAGCCACTAACTTTTTAAAGCAATTGACCTGCCCATACAATCAATATTAATTTTAATCTTTAGAAATTCTCTCTGACATATATAATGTATACTTTTTAAAAAGTATAAGGTATTTTTATCAAATTTTTGACGATATTGTCTCTTTAAATGGACCATAAATCGTTTCTTTTTTATTTCATTATTTTATAATTTTTCTTTAAAAATTAAACCATTATGTGCAATCATATTTCCGTAGATGTCGAAAAAGAGTCAAGCATTTCTGGAGTCGAATAATTTCTTCCATAAAATATACTTGGGTTTATAAAAAGTTGAAGCTTCTTCGCACGGATGGCACGCTCGAGAATTACATTCTGAAGAGCGTGTTCGGGTTTTTGGGTGGTATATTTCTCACATATATGTTCTTCGTATTTTTCGCGATTCAACTGAATTTCACCCTTTCGTCCGTCACGATGTTGTGCTCGATTCTTGGAGTGATTCTCACGCTCGGATTGGCATTTTCTTACCGTGTAAGGTAGGAAAATTCCTTGTGAATTTCCAGTGATATCACGAATATAAAGATATAAAAAAGACTGAATTATATAAAAAATATAAAAATGTCGAACTCTCATAAGTATATCAGTTCTATCTCCTTTAACACATACTTTTATAAATGCACAGGAGTTTTATATTCTTATTGCTGCCACAATTTTTTTCTAAACGTGGCAGACAGGCCTTGATGGCCTATGCCTTTATTTTAACTCTCACTGGACCGGGAAAAAATACTTTGCACAATACCAGTATCCTTTCAGAATCTTTAGTTTGTGGACAGGTAAGCTTTTATAAGTAAGTCCATTTATGTCTACGCATTATCCCGATATATTGATACTTCCTTGAATCTATTATTGGTTTTATAGATCGTTAAAAATTCTTTATTTGATCAACAAATATTTTCTGCACACACTCTATCAAACACTATTCAATATTTTATATATTTTTGAAATTGTAGATTGTAAAATTCGAAAGATGTTGCTTTTTAATTTGTTATTATTCCGAACCGTTGTAACTAATGTAAACGCATTTCTAGGAGCAGTTAAAGCAAGCTGTAAAAAGTGTAATTGACTTAATAAAAGAGCCGTTCTACGCTCTGAGAGACGCGATATCAAAAGTAATAAAGACGGTGAAGGTGGTTGTAAAGAAGATTAAGCGAACTCTCGTTGCTATCAAACGACTTGTGCTTAGTATACGTGAGTCAACTTTTCCCTTGTAGTTTCGCAAAAGCCATCGATCTTTGTAACTTTGTAAATATATCTCTTAGTGAGAGTGATCACGTCGGTTTTTCAATGGCTCGGTAGCATCGTGAATATCTGCAACAAGAAATTGGGTACGCCATTCGACAGGTGTCAGAGAGTTTTCGATGGCGCGGTAGCTGACTGTAAAGCGAAGCTTGGCCCGCTTTTCGGAGGGATTTGCAATTTGACGTACATCGTGAACGCCTTGTGTTACATAGTGAAACCTTTAGACTTCATTTGCATGCTCGTGTCTTACCTCGCCGATACATTAGTTGATGCTGTACGCAAAAGTACATATCTTTTAATTTTTATTTTCTCTTTCTCTCACACAAAAATTTATAACGCTATAAAAAAAAAACTCTCTTGTAAATTCTACACAGAGAGAATTTTCTCTTAGAATTTACCCTGAAAATCATGATAATTGGGAGAGGAATTTTATAAGAGTTTCTCTGCTTAATATTTATCGCAATGAAACATATTAATATCTGTCACAATAAGATATAAAATATGTTTGATTAATTTTACGATGTACATATTAATATTTTTTATTGTGGTAAATATTAATCAGAGAAACTATTATAAAATTCTTTCGATACCATATTGTCCCACGATTATCATGATTTTGAGGATAAACTCTAAGAGAAAATTCTTTCCGTGTAAGAATTTAAAAATTTACAACTTCAAAAAAACTGAAAATTTATGAATATAAATGTATATAAATTACATAGAGACTTTAAATATTTTAATAAATTTCATGGGAGTAATTTTAAAACAGATCTCTTTTGAAATATAGAAATCAAAAGATTTACTCGCCATATAAAAGCGATGTTCTACGTTAAAGTGAAATTTTCGCATTCTTTCCACTTTGAGACGAATCAAAGTAAGACTATCGAAGATGTATCGACTGGTATAATCACCGAGGTGCGATCAAGGACCGATAAATTTTTAGCTTTTTTCGATTGGATAAGTTTTATGGCCACCTTTTTTATCGTCTTCATGCTAATAAGGTAAAATTACAGATATTATTTTAATAAGCTGCAATCGAATATTTAATAAATAGAGATATTTTTTTAGAATTATACATTATCGGCATAAATGGTTAACGAACGACCGTTTCGACAATCAATACTTAACTGATGATGTGCGCACTATTGATTTAATAAGAACGCGTCAGGAAAAAGAAACCATATTACCGTTAAACCATCGTGAAAGAAATCAATATATTCCATTAACGTCCGTCACTTTGATTAAGGCAGAAAAAACTAAACTCGCCAAATCCGCAGTATTTTTGTGCTTGACAACATTTAAAATATGTATTCACATAATGGCAGATTATAGTCTTTATTGGATTCTGAGAACCATTAGATTTCACGGACGAATCGAAACAAAGGTACTTTTATCAAAAATATTATTTGAAAAATGATTTGTGACTATATTTTATAAGAGTTTCTCTGCTTAATATTTATCGCAATAAAACATATTAATATCTGTCACAATAAGATATAAAATATGTTTGATTAATTTTACGATGTACATATTAATATTTTTTATTGTGGTAAATATTAATCAAAGAAACTATGTTTGGAATACTCTGAATATATAGTTTTTAAATAATATAATTGATTACACGTTTCACGATGAATAAAATCTAAGCAAGAGTCACTGAAAAATTGAAATATATATCTTATAAAAATTGCATCGAATGCTCGAACGTTCTGTAGCTTAGAACTGTGATTTTATTATCGCACCAAGTGTTAAAATATCGAGAGACAAAAATATACGATGACATAGAATAATCACGATGAAAAATAATCGTGATGGGAAAACGTATATATCGATTTTTAGGTCCAACGACCTAATTCTATAGGCGTCTACGTGTCTGGTAACGGTTACCTCGCCGACCTTTACCGAAGCATCGTGAAAGCTTTTACACCGCACGCGAAAGATGTGGAGATCGATATGACGCCCTGCCTCCCAGATCCCATCCCTCCGGATTTAGACAGATATACACAAATTATGACGTTGATCGGATTCTGTTGGATTATGGCGTTATTCGAACCGTACGGATTGAGATTGCGGCACGTTGTAATGTGCAAATATCACCCGGAAAGAGCCAAGCAAAGAGCCGCTTGGTTGTACAATCATATAATTAGGTAATGCACCTATTCAATTAGCTAACGAAGTATATATTTCATGTACAAGCTTGAAATAAGCGTTTTCTCTACCAAGTTTTATCTCCGAGTCGCGATTCAAAAAAATATTCATCATATTTAATCAGGCAATTACATTAGACACGGTATACTTTATTACTTGATGAAGTTTCCCATTAAAATGTTAAAGATTCTTCTCAAACTGCTTTCAAACAATCT